ACCCGTGATCGATAACTCCCCCATCTTTCTTTATCTCTCTATCTATCTTTTTTTCCCCGAGACTCCTCATTCCTGTGTTCGCTATTTCGTTTATACATATATAGTACCTATATTCTCTCATGCGTCATCTATATTATTTATATATTTCCTTTCTCCTTTTTCACGACGAGGATGCGAGCGGATCTCCCTTTATTTTCCATATTTCTATCTTATAAGTGTAAATTAGTAACAATCACGTTAGACAATGTTTAACAATACAATTAACACACGCCGGACGCCTCTTTCCTTCTCGTTTTTCCCTCGACCTTTCTCCGTGACGAGCAACCGGGCACACCCTATTCTCCTGCACGATTTCCTGCAATTACAATGATGACGACGACCGTCCACCCTCTTCCCTTTCTCACCTACCCTCCTTCTCTCTCTTTCTCTACCTTCCCGTTTCTCCTTCTCTTTCTCTCTGCGTATTCCTGCAGTGATGACTGTGCCTTTCCGCCGCGCCGTTTGCTATTTACCCTCCCATTCGCTTTTTCCACCCGTTTTCTTATCGCACAGACATTGTAATCGATTGGGCGAAATGCGCTTCTTAACTACGGAGGAATTTCTGCGGTAAAATGTCGGAATTTCCATCGCGATTAATCGTCGGATGGAAATAGCGTTCTATGTTTTTAATTTCATAACGCACGTCTCTTTGGGGAAAAAAAAATTTTTCTCATTACTAAAAAGACTAATTACGATGGATTGAATTAGTTCTTCAATTAACGTTGCAACATTTTTTCGTATTTTATTTGAGTGCGGTACGTATTTATCTTCCAATTACATCTGCCATGCATTTTCTCGCGCACAACGCGCGTTCATAATTTTTCAGAATAGATTCTAGCGAGAACACTTTAGCGTTCTCCCGCTAGTAAACTGAGTAAATAGCAAAACGATCGATCGGTATGGACGATCGTAACTCATCCCGAAACAATTTCTCCTCCGACCGGCATTTTCTCCGCGCCCATATATGATGCACTTATGTCCACATGAATATAGATGATGCATCCGTAAAATACGGATACTAACGTGCCATAGCTGCGTTCCCGAGCAATTCGTTACTTGGCTTTCTTGAAATAATAACAAGACAAGTTATTTGATTACAAATTTCGAAAAAATTTAAACTTTTTTTTGAATTGTATCGTGTATAATAAATATAATTTTTTTTATATCAAAGCTATATATATATTTATTTGTTTTATAATATTAAATTTTCTACTAAAAATATATAACAGAAAATCATATTGTATTTGTTTCGCCAATAATATAATTAATAAACGAGAAAGACTCTATTTTTATATTCGACAACGTTTGGCTAATGTGACAATTCGACCATTGGTTTTGGTCAGATTAATCATCAAGACAAAAATATATAAATTATAATATTTTTAACAGAAATGTTATTATAATTTCTGCATATAAATTTTCTATACACGTAAGAAACAAAAAAAACGAAATTTTGAAACTTTAATATAAAAATAATATCAAGAAGTAAAAAATAAATTTTTAATGTGTATGTAAATTAGAGGGAGAATTGACAAGTTTAGAACTAAGGATTTGACTTTCTTGGCTCTTGATTGACTCGTCTATCTGTCAGCGTAGATTTGCCGAATTAAAACAAGAATCGCCTATACGGATCGCGCAAATGAATTTTTTGGACTCTCGCGATAGACGTTTCTCCGAAACGTGACGTAACAGATTATAATCGGATTCGACGACGATTAATCAAAAGCACAACATTCGCGCGCGATTCAGCTTTTCTATTATCTTTCGTTCTCTCCCAGCTCTTCGCGTGGATCGAAGTTGATTACAAAATTATGCTCTTCGGAGCTTCGCCCCTTTGACGTAATTAGGCCGTATTTGCCTGTCGGGCAATTTACCCAGTATTAATTATTAACGGGATTGTGAAACGTGTCCGTTCGTTTATTTTGAACTCTCTCGAGTCCGGTTAAAAACGTTTGAAAATCGCTTAATTTGAGAGACATTAAACAATAATCGTAATGACAGGCTCTTTGACTTTGTTCTCTTTGAATAATAATTCAAAAAGCTGGAATATAATAAGAGTGACATAAATGTAACTATTAATAATGTGTATATCTCTTTTTAAATCTGTATTAAATTGAAAATCCGAGCAAGTGTTTTACATAATTGTGAAACTAAGATAAACGGTCGAGATCGACCGTTTTCGCAATTATTTGCACGGGATTTACGATCGAGGACGAGATAGGAAACGCTACGAGAAATCTACGCGGAGAGAAAAAGAGAAAAAGGAGAGAGCTGAGAAATTATCTCCCTCTTATCGAAGCAGAAAGAGCCGTCGGCGTCGCTGTGCGGCTATTCCTCGAGTCAAATCACCTGTTATATCTCCGATCGGAACATGTGTGACACGCGCAAGACGTTTCCCGCAAGCGTGTCTCGCGCAAAATGCGATCGCATCAACGTGAACGAATTGCGCGTACAGTCTATTTTCATTCGTGTGCGGACGTGTGTGACGTGAGTGTGCGGCGTGTGCGATCCTAAGATCGAGGACGAGACGATCCGCAAAATCGAATCGTCCGCGGTTTTTCTTCCATGAAACGGCAGATATATACAGATATATTTCTCGGGAGGCTACCTTTGGTGGGTATACGTCCATCCTTTCTATTTTTTTTTCTCCTCCGTCACTCTGTCCGGCCCTGCGTGGCTTCGCACGGCTCAACAACGAGAAACAACACGAACAATTAACGACTTGTTTAGGCGGTGGGCGAATTTGTGCGTATCGTGTGATCTCCTCCTTACATTCCTCCTCTCGTCTTATTCATCCCTCTTCGTTGTCCTCTCCTACCGCACTGTACCGCGCGATCGAGAACTTCCCCTCTCTTGTTGCACTTCTTATTCTAGATGATCGACGACACCCTTCTCTTGTTTCCGCGCTTTATTTTACGTAATCGAGAACGTCCTCTCTCCTTGCTCTACGTTTTATTTTACGTCGAAGCTGGTGGTTGCATGTGCATGTGTATATATGTGTGTATCCGTGCCGTTAGATACTTTTCCCCGTTCCCCGTTTTTTTTTCTTCTTCTTTCCGGAGAAGGGTTACCCCGAGTCTCTCGTTACACAAGTAGAACGAGCCGTCCCCTCGAAAACTCGACTTTCCTTTGGTTACTGTATCCTACCATTCTTACGTTGCTACACCCTCGCGCTCCATCCGACCGTGTTCTTTTGCCGGTCGTATCCTTTCGATGTTTCTCCCGCTCGTTCGTTCGAGCAGCTTTAACTTCGTACACTTTTGTTTCCTAAACTACTTCTTCGTATCGTCAATTCGATGGAGACATTCGTAGGATTTTATTTTTTGGTCTACCGTTCCGTTAAATCAGATAAACTTTGACTGTGTCCTGATTTTCTTCGCGTTCGTTTAGAATTTTCGCTGGCGCAATTAATTCTTATCGTTTCCGCTCCTGAAATCGACTCGCAATTTCTCTGCTCTCGCGACAGATGGAGAATCTTATCTCGAGATATTACATCTCTAGATGCTACATCTCGACATATCCCAAGAATGAATGCACTAACTTCCAAAAAAGAAATCGTCGAACGAAATAAGAAATAAAAAGATAGTCGATAAGGCGCGAGCGAAAGGGACGAAATGAAGAATGGAGTGTAACGGATAAAGGGAGAAAAGGCGCGATCGAATCGAATTTGAAATGTAATAAATCTGTCGCAAACTCCGAAGGAAAAAAAAGAAATCGATGACGCTTGAAATCACGGCGAGCCTAAAAGGAAGTCGAAGTCCTGGCGCTCCTTCGCGTGAAACGAATCACCAATATGTGATCTCGCGCGACCAATCACCACGCCGTCCAGCGCCGACATCGCCTTCCGCATGGTCGATCTCGATAATCGAACGCATCGCATCGCATCGCGTCGCATCGTATCGCGTCGCGGTGATGCACCCGAGAATCGAAATGCGGAACGCAGGACGGAAGCCGAGATTTTCTCGGGAATTTCGCGTGTTTTTTGCTTCCCCGACGCGACGAACGGAAAAAAAGTCGACTCTAAAATTTTCCCTCCTCTACTCTTTGACCCCCCCCTCTCATTTACTCTTCTCGATCTCGATCGGCAAAACCATCCCTCCCTTCACCGTCCGACGTTTCCTCGTTCCTCGTTTCTACAACTTTTCTCTCGGCCCGTCACTTCTCTTTTTCTCTACTTTCCCTTTACTTATCTCTCTTTATCTTCCCAATCCTATCTCCTATCACTCGCACAAATACACATACACGTACATACACGTACACACACATGCATACACCCTCTCCACTTCGACTCAGTCCTCGTTACAGGTCTATGTTTTAATATTTACGATTATTATTTGCGGTAATGTCTAAACGAACACATATTATATCGCGATAACGTCGTGCTTATTTATCATCCCGTGCCACACGTTTTTCTACACTCTCTCTCCTTTCTCCAGCATGTCCACATCGGCTATATAAGAATATACCAATCCCCCTCCCCTCCCGTGCGTTCAAAATACCACCCTCTCTCTGGCCGAAGAAACTACCTATCTACGGTTTTTCTTTCTTTAATGTTGCCTCATTAAAGTTTAACGACTTATACCCCATTGTGTATGTGTTCTTTTGTGTGCCTATACGTCTGCTTTTGTCAGATTCTGCAGCTATTCTCTTTTATTCTCTGCCCCTTCTTTTATCACCCTATCATACATACATATACACACACAACACACAGGCTCTCTCTCTCTCTCTTTTTTCTCTCATTTTTTCACTCTTACTCGCATCGTGTGTAACGTATATATAATTTAATATATAATAATAATTGTGTCGTTATCATTCTATTGTTTACTTTAACGTAACTCTTCAATCGTTTCTCTTTATATATATAATATATTTATATATTTATATATTTATATATTTATATCGTTTACTCCATTATTTAATTCTTCATTATTATTTCTCATTATCATTATTGTTAACTATATTATTATTCATTATTTATTATTTTATTTTGTTTTATTCATTATTATTGTATTATTATCATTATTAATAGCTCTAGACATTACGTTTCCTTCGTTCTCGGTTGTTCTTGTTTTTGTGGTTGATGAAGTTGTTCTTTGTTGTTCTCCCTTTCCTCCCTCTTTTGCTCTAGTCTGCGGAACCGAAGTCGTCGACGAGACCGGCCTGCGCTCCTCCACTTGTGTGATCCTTGGATCCTTTCGCACCCTGCTACTTCCTTACTATCCTCGCAGTGCTGGTGGTGTTCTTTCTACCCGTGCAATATCCCGGGGACATCCCCCGATCCTTTGTATACTTCCTCCGTATTTCGCCCGACGAGACGTTTCGCTACGTCAATCTGTCCTCGATCGAGTTTCGCTTCGATCGAGTCTGCGCGCTTCTCGAGTACTCCGGCACCGTGGAGACAAAGCTCTCGCGGACACCTCGCGATAGAAGAAAACCCGTACGATCCTGCGTATCCAGGAAAGCGAAGCTGTGTCCACCCTATGGCGGGTCCTTCCTGGATATCAATTTGGCCGACTTTTCGACGTCCATCCTGAGAATCCTGGAAAGATCCCTTCTTCTCCCGCGTCGTCGACGTGCCGCCCCGTGAGTCGCCGGATGTTTCCTCCGCAGGACAAGCTTCGTGTACCGCTCGCCTGTCGATCCACACTTTCGCCACCGACGCCACAACCACCACCAATCGCGACACCGACACTTCGCCACGAACTTAAGAAACAGCTCGAGAATAGCAATCGACACGCGCAAGACGGACCGTCGGGACGCGACGCCGAAGCGGCGAAGAAATTTCCAGCGGAAATGCCGGCTGCTGGACCTCCTCCAGGACCTCCACCACCACCATCCACGACGACGGCACTTCATCACCGCCCGTCCGGGCATCCCGAGGCAACGCACGACGGCAAGCCGGTAGATGCCGGCCGAGCGTGGACCGAAGGAAACGCGAAGATCGTTGAAGGCTCTCCTCAGGACGAACGCGCCCGAAAGGAGCAGGCCGGAACCGATCAGCCGGAGGAATCCGGCGGGACTCCAGGACACGGCGTTGTACTGCAGCGCGTTCGCAGGGAGGGTGATCAGGATCGAACAAAGCCAGAAAAGTTGAAGGACAATCGGCGGGCTTGGTCGGCCGGGCGAGGACGCGCTCGATATCGAGCCGATGCGACCGCTGCCGCAGAACGCCGTGTCCTTTTGGCCGACGGTGGTGGTCGAAGGTGTCGTGGTGTTGGTGTCCTGGTCGTCGCCGCTGTCGGTGGACGTTTCCGGTTGGCCCGCCTGCGAGCCCGGACCTGCGGTCAGAATAATCGGACCATTGACTATTAGACGAGAATTATATCGATCAAATAAACAAAACGGAAAATTCTGCAGCTTTTTTCGGTATCGGGAATTGGATAGGACTAATTAGCCAAAGAGCTGCTAAAAAAAAGATGATTCTATTCTTGCAAATTTCTTGGAATATAATCGCTTAAATATCCGCACAATTTATATATTTGCAAATATAGATACTGTAAATATTCATAAATAAAGAATGTGAATTAAGTAGAGAGAAGTGCCATTTTCAATCAGGCTGGATCCTGATAGCCCAATAATAATATTTTTATGTGAATATTTTAATACTTTTTCCAACTCAGCAAACTGTTCAATTATTTATCGGTCTTAAAATGCATTCTCTGTTGAAACAGTAAATCTATATATACTTAAATTGTTAATCGATTTAATTTTCGATGTTAATAAGCATCTTTTATAAATCATTTTGCAGTAAAGAATTTATTGCGAAAAATATCATCCCAGCCAGGGTTCTAATTTGGACTTTCCTCCAATTCGTGGAAACTTTATCAATTCATCCTCGTATGAAAAAATGTTAAGATTTTTAATTTTCATGAAAATTTTTTCGAAATTCTTACACTTTGTCAATTGTTTTAATCGCTCGCTCGTTTTCGGAATTCTTTTTGTCGGCGCTTACCTGCAGATTGAGGGGGGCCCATCTCGCAATGGGGCGCCGTCGCGGGGTCCTGGACCATGCCATGTTTCCACGGCTCCTTGCAGTTGGTGCAGATACCCTCTATATTATCCTCGGAGCATACGTGGAAGCAGCACTCATCGCCACTGATGCTGTGCAACGCCCTCGCGGCCTGCTCGCCGGTCTCGAGGATGTTCGGGTCTGAAATCATTGCGTTTTCCAACGACCTCGTGCACGGACGGATGCATACGATGGTCGTTCTCCTCACAACCAACAAGAGTTTGAGATAGGAGGCGGTAGGAAGCGCGTTTTGGAGAATACATATAAAGCTCGGCGAATCAAAGTAATTATTTCTCAATAAATTTCTTTCGAAGGAGAAGCGGGGAAAAGTGCTCGGGTATATGTATGAGATGTTGCGGAAATAGTACAGATCAAAGCATCGTAAAAGAATTCGCAAACAAAATTCCGTAAACAATTCAGTGAACGATGATCTCCGTGCTCGCGCGCGTCTCCTATTGTTTTCGCGATTTTGTCACACACGGGAGTTTGGATCTAATTGATTAAAAGCGGATTAGTTGGCACGTAGC